TCACAAAGACACGTACGTACAAATACACACTCACAAAGACACGTATGGACAAATACACACTCACAAAGACACACACATCCTGTGATTGTGGAGTTACCCCAAGGGCACGTTCTGTGTGCAGGTCACAGTTCAACTAGGACTAGCTTGTTTAAGAGCTGCTCGCCTGGAAACTGAGGGGGGTATTCTGCCCCGAGGGTCTATGAGTGTGTGTGTGTGTGTGTGTGTGTGTGTGTGTGTGTGTGTGTGAGCTGAGTCAACGACAGGTGCGAGTGTAATGGGGGTGAATGGAGAGGGGGTATGAACGAGTGATCAATTTCAAATGAGCTTTGTAATACTGTTTATATTACTCGGGGTGTGGAAGCGATAAGATGATGATACATGGAAAGCTTTTCAAAGCTGAAGGCAGAACGAGAAGCATTTAGTTTGGATGGCAAAGATGAAGGTAAGGAGCCTGGCACGGGTCCTCATGTTCCCTCAGATATATAAATCACTGAATTAGTCACTTTGGGGCATTTATTAAGAATTCAGAAACAATGTCAGACCTTATGAAAGCCAAGTGGCCGTTCTGTCAGAGGAGTGGCAAAAAAAGAAGAAGAAATGTTTTACCAGAATGCTACAAAATTCAGGATGAAATGGGCGGGGCCTGAATTTTACTTCTATGTGTAAAAGTAAAAATTTGAAAGATGTAATGAGGTTCTTGAATAAAATGAAAACCTGCTCTTCCTCGGCCTATAAGGCCAAACTTTGCACCAAATATCACTGAAACTTGGAAACATAACCTAAACAAGCTCAGTAACTGCCAATTAAATACAGATTGAGCACGATCCAACCTAACGCCAGATAAAAGATATTGCGTTATACCACTGGGACATTTCCCTTCCGGTGAACAGTATAATTGAGTTCTGTCAGTTTGTTTTAATTGAGACTGGCAGATATTTGGTCCACGTTAAGAGATTCAACTCATGCCGTCATGATGTAGAACTGCAGACTGTGTGTCGATATCTAGACCCTCGGAGGTCCCTTGTGGACTCTAAAGTGGGGTTGGGGATGGTTGGGCTGTAACGTACCGGCCTCCAGCAGCATGCGGACAGTGTTCGGGTCGTCAGCCAGCGTGGCGTAGTGGAGCGCTGTGCAACCGTGGAAGCCGGCCCTGCTGCTGAGCCTGCTGCTAAATTCATCCTCTCTGGACACGAGGACTGTAGAGAGACAAGAGAGATTAGAGGGAAAGGAGCATGCATTGGTTTACAGAAAGACAGAAAAGAAAAAGCCACTGCTGGGTTACTACATTTCAGATTTCAGAGGATGTTCTTTTAACGAGAAAAAGAGAGAAAAGAGAGAAAGCCCTGAAAGATGGAAACAGCTCAACTCAAGAGTATGATGAATCAATGAACATCTTTGACTGGAATCGTTTGAGTCTTTAAATCCGGAATAACTTTCTTTAATCTATTTACAGTCAATGGTAAGGCCCCGGAAATTGTGACAATGATAACACTGCGGACTACAAAATTGTCTTTCCTGTTTCCAGCTTTGGGAGAGTTGTTCATTTTCACAGATTTAAGCTCAACTGTCCGACGTGATCGGAATAATGGGAGTTGTGTTTTAGGGCCTCCTTTGCTGTGCTCCTTACTAATAATAGAGATAGTCTATCATTCTCTCCTTACGTCTCTTTTTCATAAGAGCACTCATCTCATGCCACTCCTCTATCATCCATTTTTATTTTTTCCACCTCCTTCCTCTCCTCCTCGGTATCCATCAATTATTTTCATCACTTGCACCCTCTTCCTCCCTCCCCACTCCCTCTATCCCAATAACTTTGTCTCATCCATTTCCTGACTTCCTCGCCTCTCCCTCCCTCATCATCCCACCCATTTCCTCCAACCCCTCCCTCCCAACATCCACATCTTCTTCCTTCTCCTCCATCTTTAACCTCCCCCTCACTCCATCCGCCGCTGCTCTCTACCTTCTTTCCTTCCGCTCGCTTTCTTTCACTGCCTTCCTCCCGTCATTTTCTCCTTCCTTCATCAGTCTTACCCTTCCTCCATCCATCCCACTCTTTTTCTCCATCTCTACGACCATCTTTCTCTGCAGTGTGTCTCTCTGTGTGTGTGTGTGTGTGTGTGTGTGTGTGTGTGTGAGAGAGAGAGAGAGAGAGGAGAGAGAGACACAGGGCGGGATAATCATAGCTAACCCAATAAAGCGTCGCACAGGCCCCCCTAGCCCATCCATCAGCGTGCGTCTGGGAAACGCTTCCCCACGCTACACCGGCCCCACGTGGACCCAAACCTGACAGCCATATAAATGTCTGCAATATACATATCCCATATAAATATGTCTGCAGAAACCCAACACAGACTAGGGGGGGTATAGCGTGTGTGTGTGTGTGTGTGTGTGTCTTGTCTGCGCAGCTCGGTAGAAAAACAAATAAAACACACACTACTTGTCACAGAACATAGAAAACAAATAACACGGAAGAAATGAAACATGTACATATATGCAAATCTTTATGCAAATTATAATGTCTCATAATATCTGGTTCAACACTTAGGATTCATATGTGTAATATAGCAACCACACACACACAAACATGCGCGTGACAGATGCACACACAGTCACACAGTGTTGTTCTTCTCTCTCTCTCTCTTTTACCTTCCAGTGAGTGGATGCCTTTCTCTCGCGAGGTGTCGTAAACGTTGTTGAAGTGATCACCGGCGTTTGGGTCGGCACCGGCTTCCAGCAGAACCTTCACCACACTGGGGAACAACAAAAGACACGTTTAAATACATGATTGTAATAAATAAATGCCCGTGTGCACACAGACCAAAGCAGTAATAATTATTTTACAGCCAGCACCGCTTGAATATATAATCAAGTCTACGATACGGATAAAATCTTCTGTCTCAATATATGTATTTATATTGTTATATCAACATATATCTTGATATAGCAAATGTTCTGGGAGGTCAATTAAAAACGGTTTTTAGATGAAGTATCTTCGGGTCTCCAGGTTTTTGGTGAATCCAGTGAATTAAAAACAAATAATAATCATCCCATTTATGCAAAAATGTTGTAAATCCGATATTGTCATAAAGCAGCTTTGTGCCCACAATGGCCGAATACAACCAAAGATATAAAAGGGATAGCTACCTCGGTACATTGCTCAATCCTAATCAGGCCCTACTGTTTCCTAAAAACACGTGTCACAGTACCTAGTTTCTCCCGACTTCACAGCTTGAAAAACAATAAACACACCAGATGCAGATGTGAACATCTAATTACTCCGTTGACCACGGCTTCTTCCACCTGATTCACTTCCACTTCTAGTCCGCCCCGTTACGGTGGATACACTCCAATGGCCGCTTCACACGGCAGTCTGCTTTGTAACATGTACATATGTGTACATTGAAGGGGGTGAAGGGTCGGGCCTGTTTCCGGCCCCGTTGGTGGTGGGGGTGATGGGGTGTCTGTGTGTTTGGAGCGTACCACCCTTCAATGGAGCGTACCGCCTTATAGAACAAACACGAGAACCTCGGCAACACCACTCACTGTGACCCGGAGGACATTCCAGGTACCGTCTCTCCGTCGACAGGACACGCTCGCTTTACATTTACCACCGTGAGTGTGTTGCAGTGGCTTTGACATTGAGACATGGACATGAAGGCTATAGTCGACGGTAGTCTCTGCTCCACTGAGAGAGAGAAACGGGGGAGAGGGGGGGAGGGGCGAGGCGATGGCCGAAACGTGAACCCTGCCAGTATACGCTGCCGGCCGCCATTAAACCTGTGACTGTGTAATGCAGCCTGGGAGGGAGTGATGGATCATCTCTGGCTAAATGGTTATGGCAGGAGGGCCTGAGAGGGTTTAAATGGAGCTAAATGATTATTCAGAGGAGGATGAGGTGGACTTGTGTTTTTAGAGCTCACCACTCTTGACCACGTAACAGGCCACAGCTTCCATTTAGGAGCGGCCATTTAAAAGGTGACGTTTGAAAAGTCACAGCAACAAACAGTAACGTACTGGTTTCAAAAGATATTTAAAAGGGACAAACATTTATTAAAAACATTAAACATTTGAAAACAGACGGAGGCAGTCAAATATTTGAAGCATGTGTCCATAAATGCAACGTTTGATTTTGAACTAAAGATGAATCTGTGAATTTTTTCCCCGGGAACAACTTCACGATAAAATATTTATCAGAAAATAGTGAAAAATGCCTGTTGTAATATCCCAGAGCCTGAGGTGTTGTATGCAAATCGCTTGTTTCATCCGCCCAACAGCGTAAACCCAAAGATACTTCATCTACTATTAAATATGACAAAGAAAAGCGTCACATCTTCACATTTGGGGAAACTGGAACCAGGAAAAGTCTGAGATTTTGTGCTTTAAAATTGTCAACGTACGATCAAACTAGTCAGTGACTAATTAATCATTTCCGCTGTGAATGAATCTATTTGGGGTACGAGTACAGTCTCAAAAAAATCACAGTCCAGAGATTCCAGTACATCAGAATAACAGAATTTCCCCTCATCACCACGGACGTAAGTCAAACGTTGGTAGTTTGTGTTCCTGTGGGAGAGCGAGGCTGAGAACGGCCTGGCCAGGTCTTTGTGTCTGACCTCGCTGAGGGGGTATAAAGGACTATCGGGGGGGTCCCCCTTTGTTACTGTATCCGGGGGGCGGGGGGGGGGGGGCCGTGACCCACAGAGGGCTCTCCTCTCACCCTTGCAAGCACTTCTACAAACACGTCGACGCATCCTCCGAGACACACACACACACACACACACAACTTCCAGCTATACGGCTGGTCACACGAGGCTGGGCAGGACTGTGTGAAGAAATGAAACGGCCTGAAAAGGGTTAATGGCATCGGAAAGGTAAACACGGAGGGAGAAAGAGGGGAATACTGCAGAGGGGAGGAGGAGGAGGAGCGGGTGAAAGGAGGGAAGTGCCGCTAAAAAAAAAGATGAAAGAGGGAGATTTAATTATACAGGGTAGTGCTAAAACTAATGAGCTTTTGAAAACGCTTGATAGTTTTAATAATCAACTGATGATCGAGTGGCTAACTTTATTTGGGACATTTCGGAGAAGAGTCGCAGCACTAATTTGAGGCCGAACTGAAGGCACGCCGAGGTTAATTAGGTTAAACTCACATTGCAGAGGAGTGGGCCAAAGTTAGGACTTCAGACCTCCTAACACAATCTTAGAACTACCGAAACAACATCGTTTTACTTTCACAGCTAAACGGAGACTAAACGTGCGTCGTGGTTTGCCGAGGCGGGTAGACTCGTGCCGAGGTTGTCCACCAGGTGACTGGTGTTCCCTGCTGGGCGGGGGGGGGCAGGTGTTCCGTTCCCATCCTGCCCCGGAGGGGAAGACAGGAAATGGACACTTCCGTCTGTCCCGTGCGATAATAGACACCCGAGCCGAACTGACCATCCATGTCTCTGACCACCTGGTCCAGACGCTGGACCTCACTTGACCCCCTCTCACCTGGTGCACACCTGGGGTCAGATAGAAGCCAGGACAAGAGCTTAATGACCTGATTGGTCACAATGTTAGATTATTAAGTGTTTTCTTTATACATTTAATTTCTTCCAAAGGAGCCCTCCTCTGTGCTTCTACCTGAGGCTTCTTCCATTCCTTCCCCGTTTAAGGCTTTCATGGTTTCTCCTGATCAGAATCGAGGGTCTGAGGACATTTGTGATATTGGACTATATAAATAGAACTGCCATGTTTTCCTGTGGAGCCATTGAGCGAAAGGCATCATGCAGGTTATTTGCTGAGTTCTCCCCATTCCTACGAAAGAAAGTCATAATATACTGTACACACAGGTGCCCATCATGGTGGTCATCGGGGAGATGAAGTGCATTTCTTTGTCTACAGCTCAAAGTGTCAAATGTAGCCAACAGAACAATAACAGAATAAGATACTGTAATCATTTGAAAATGATTTTTTTTTAAATGTAAAGATTAATGCTAATTATTAAATTCAGCATATTTAAACACCGTCACTATTTCAAGTCCAACTTCCAACAGCTATTGCTCTAAAATGACTTATTCCATTGTTGCTATTTAGCTTTAATATCAATAAAGGTAGTGATCATGTATTACCTGCAGTTTTGTCATGAAAATGACTACTTTGTAGAAAGCTTAAGCAGCGTACAGTACGCTTGTTGAAAATCATTGCATGAAAACCCATTAATGTGGTGTTAATGTGGCACAGGTTAGATTACCCTTCAAGTATTTCTTTATGTATATTACCAGAGCCCACCTGAGGGAGTATTGTTTTGGTGTACTGAGAACGATACCTGTAAGACACGACGATGAACTGATTCTCACTGAACCATCACAGTCGTGTTGTATCAAACGACGAGAACATTTCACCGGGAGCTTCTCTCTGATTTCCACCACTATTCAATCCAGCTAATCCCGATCCCAAACCCATAATCCCACTCCACATCACTCTCTCTCCTCATCACAACTATTCTCTTCTTTCCCCCGACGAGCCACTCATCCTCTCGTTCTATCATCCCCTCCGCTTCCCCCCCCCGCCTTCCACCGCGGAGTCACTCGGCCGACAGGTCGGAACGGTCAACAGGCGTTTCACTCGGCTGAGCGCTCATTGTGCACGTGAATGCGCCGAGGGAGGGACAGAGGGAGAGAAAGAGAGATGGAGATGGCCATTGTGTGTTAAAGAGTGCAAATAGTGGGCCAGGCCCTGCGCCTCCCTGATTTAGCCCCACATCAAAGCTAAGCAAACACCCCCCCCCCTGATGTCTCACCCTTTAATTCTTACACACACCCCTCTACTCCACCTCTGATTCTCTCACACAGACGCACCTCGACATCTTAAAACACCGGAGAGGCTGCCTGATGGACGCTACGGCCTACAAACTCCAACCACAGTTATCACTTCTGGTGCAGACGGATATAACTACAGTGTGAGGGGGGGAGTTATTTAACAATAACATCCTCGCTGACACTCATAGCTACAGGCTAGACCTTGTCCGTGAGTAATGTTCCCTGTGTTTTCACTTAACGGCGGCAAATAAAGTTGTGTGTGACTGAGTAATAGGCAGTTGGCCTGTAAGATATTTGGTATAAACTCCCCTTGTCCGTGCGTTCACACAGGCATCCTCACTAGTGTGTGTGTGTGTGTGTGTGTGAGAGAGAGGTACGTGTGACTGATGTGTGTGAACCGATGTTCAGTCTTCCCTGCAGCAGCAGTGACGGCTCACTGGGGGGTTGGAAGACGGGATTAAACACAGAGGAGTGTCACTGCCTCGCTGAGTTATAGCACTCATAACACACACACACACACACACGACAGTGCAGTGACACACACACACACACACACACACACACACACACACACACACACACACACACAGAATATAGACTCACAACCAAATTTGTATCCGAAACACATTACATACATCAATATGTTACACGCCAGCGATCACTCAGCACACGTCATGTAAACAGAAAGACGTTCTGGAGCTCAAACGTCTCCACAAAGTGACATAATCAAAGCATATGATCACATGTGTCTCTGAGAACGAGTTACGCACCAGACAGCCAGTAGAAACGATTGAAACAATCAATTATTCTCATTAACAATTAATATTAAAATCATTCTTACAATTGATTGATTGTCGTCTATAAAATGGCATTCATTCACGATGTTCATCAAAATGTCCGGGTGTTTATTGTGACGTCTGCAAAGTGTCGCAATCCTACTCACAGTTCTGAATCTAAATGGAGCAGATGTTTCCATTTCAGTCGCATTATGAATTCAAACTCTCTTACCAACGTGAGGAGGCGGCAACTGTAACCCTGAGACTTTAAAGTAAGCTCCTTTTAAGCTATTTTCATATTCAAATTCCACATAATGCTTCTCACGGGCACATGAGGCCCTTAAACAAAAAACAAAGTGACCGCACAGTCCTGAAAAGAAAAGAAAAGAGCTCTGTAAATTGGATTTGGCCCGGCCTTAACCTCGGCCCCTCTCTGTGCCGTGTGTGCTCTGGGGGCCAGGAGGCTAATTTAATTTGTTGGACAGAAAGATGGGGGGGGGACCGTCTGTCAGTCTGAGAGTCGCACTTTGCACTTCTGAAGAACTACTGTAACAACTGGAGCGAGGGACACCGAGGACATATGGTCACGTACTGCCTGCATGTTACCGTTACACATGTTCACTCCTCAGAACTGGAAAAACACATGACTTGCTCAGTGAGGTTAGTCGGAGGAAACACAGACCTGTGCTGTCGGTTCATGGTAGCCACCATGAGAGCGGTCCAACCCAGGCGGTGGCGGTGGTTCGGGTCGACTCCCTCTTTTACCAGCCTGACGGGGGAGAAACACACGAAAAGTGGCTCTTAATCGACATCACCGTTAACGTCGACATATTGCAGAGTACTAAGAGAAGTGTCCATATCGTAGAGTGTTTTGTTAGTACGGTATCTTATACATAATGAGGCTGGAATAGAGATTTAATACCTTAAAAAGGGAACGAACACACATGAAGAGACATGGCGGTCCAGCTGCTTGTGTGACTCATGTCTCACAGACCGGCCTTGTTAGACACACCAGCATGAAACCGGCCCGAGATATCTTTGTCTTTATCTGAAGCCACACACTTGCTCCTTGACCAGTTAATGTGTCTGTGTGTGTGTGTGTGTGTGTGTGTGTGTAAGCCAGGTGCGTGTTGAGTTTTCTGCCCGAGGCTATGACATCAGGTACTGGAGTGGCACAGTCCTCGTAAGTCTGTGTGTGTCTCTGTATGTGTGTGTGTGTGTAAGTGATCTGTCTGTCGTCTCGTGGGCCGTGCAGACAGACAGTGTGTGTGTGTGTTTACAGTCAACACGGTGGCCTCTGTCTGGCCTGCACTCAGCTCCGATGCTCTCTGGCTCTGTTTTCACTGCCTGGTCCAGAAGCTCACCACTACAGCTGCGGCCGAGCTTTTTCGGGGGAATGGAAGCGGCTCTTTAGCACCTTTTATTTTACCAGATGGTTAAGTTAAAGAAGGGACATCGTGTGGGGTTCTATTTCACATGTAAATGGCGAGAATTGGACATACATCATTGTAGATGTCAAGTAAATCAAACGACTATCTCATTTCTAGAAACAGAGGGGACACTATGCTTAGAGTGACATTTCAGCCATATTTTGGGTCCATTTTCTGTATATTTTAAGTGTCTTGACATGTGAATCTGGCAAACCTGCCCTTTAATTAAACTTGGATATTGTCCAGCCAATGTCTCCTTCCAATGTGGCAGAGAAACACAACAGAGCGTCAAGAATATCTGTGAAATCAACCCCTTAAGAATGGGTTTACCAACCTGAAATAAATCTATTAATGTGTCAAAATACCATCTCAAGATGATACAATGATTCACCACAGTGGAAGCACAACATGCCTTCATAAAAGTCCGTGTGAAAGCGAGACGTCTGTCCTCTCCACTGCCTCTCAACAGACACACCCGGACACTCTGACACCTCTACACACTGAACCGAAGCACTTAACACATCTGCGACCCGCTGACTGTCTCGCTGCACTCTCACCTACACCATCTGCCAAGCGGTGCACAGGTAACCCAAGCCGGCAAATGGAGACACACATGGATAAACACATGTAGGCTGAGCTCATGGACACACTGTACACACACTCACTGATTTAACGCACGTTTACACGGTTGTTGCCCAGAGGTGAGCCATCCACCAATATGATGCACAATGCGTTTTTGTCTCTTATTGCATCACAAGCAGACCTTCCGCACCATCTTTTAGGATCATGGCCCGTGACTACAGTGTGTTCACTTCTGTCTGTTTGCACAGTAACTCAAGATTTGTAATGCAATATTATCAGCTGAACAGATGGGACCGGGAAGTACTTTAAGACCTGTTGTGCTCCTTTTTTGGTTGATTGTCTCTGAGTGTGCAGGGGGGGGGGGGGGGGATTCTATAAGACTCAGAGGAAAGAAGAAATAAATAAATAAAGGTAATGCAAAGTGAACAAAACAGGCACACTGTTGGAATGGAGCTCTGAGAGGCCGAGTGTATACGTCCATCCTGCAAACACACAGATGGTTCTCTACCTCCACCTGGTGGTCATTAGTGGGACTACAGCTACAGGTGATATAACTGGCTTCATGACTGCAGATGATCGTAGCTGCTCTACAAACTGGACAAAGCAGATGATCTGGCATTTACACAAGGCTATGAGATCTGAACGACACTAAAGAACAGAAGATTAAGGATAATTTACATCCAAAATAAATCATCGGTAATATAGATATAATGGCCAAATAAGTCATTCAGTTGAGCACAGAGCATCCCAATATCAGTTGAAAACCGTATTTTCCTCATACAGTCCACTGCCAACATGACAAATTGACCAAAAAATGTCTGTCATATAATTTATTATTATTTATTTAATGTATTTATAATCTGTTTAACACCTACAACACCCTTAATACTCTTTGTAGCCTCCTTGAATCATGTGCTTCACAATGAAGAGAGCCAACAATGCTTCTACATGCTATGGTGCTAGCATGTGCATGTCCAAAGGGTTGTAGTGTATACAGGTCTGTCAGATCTGTCAAATATGTATTTGAAACATACATTTTTTTGTATAAAAGTGGACAAACACTGTGATCTGGAAGAGTCAGTGATGTGTGTGTGTGTGTGTGTGTGTGTGTGTGTGTGTGTGTGTGTGTGTGTGTGTGTGTGTGTATGTGGTACCTGGCCACATCTTGAGAGTTATTGGTCCTCGCTGCCTCCAGAAGAGCATCACCTTGTTATTTGCAAAAGCAGAAAACATGAAACAAGAAGAATACAGAGAGCTTGAGTAGACATAATTAAGAATGTGCCAGTACTGTAGTTCAAATCCAATTCCCCAAATGTTTTCTTTAACTCAGTTGACCACTATGACACCTGTGGGGAATTGTGTGCAAAAATGCTGGCCCTATATAATGTTATCAATTAACAATATTTGCTATACTAAGTCAGACACAGTGACTGACAGTGGATAAAGCCTACCTTTGTTATCAGAATCTTTCTTCAGGCAGAAGGCCACTGCAGCAGCAGACAGCACCCCGACGGAGGCCGCTCCTGCCCGGCCGGCTCCTCCACCTGTCCCCCGGCCCTCACCACCACCACCGCTCTGCCCGCTCTCCTCCCAGTACTGGTTGTTGTTGCGCCCTCTGCTGGCCAGCGCCGCCCACGAGCCGCGGCGGTTCTGCAGGCTGGACAGCCATCTAGGGGCGAGATGGTGGTACTGCACCAATGGGTTCACACTGGCACCGGGGGTCTCTTCGGCTAAAATCCCCCGTCTGGAGACTCGCGAGGTGGACACGATCGGGTTGCAGTTGATCTCTGTCTCGCGGACGCCCTGGCACGTGGCGCCGCTTGCGCTGGTCTGGAGCACGCGGCGGCACGGTGACAGGCTGCGCGACCTTTGCGCGATCAGCCTGGTGGGAACAGATGATAACATGGCGATGAACTCACCACAACAACTAAGCGTGGGGTGAATCCCTCAGTCCGGCGGTTATTCCAGAGAGAAGCGGAAAACCCCCACAGACCGGGGCGCGTTTATTACGATGTAACAGCTGCTATATTACCTCGATCTACAGGCAGCTACTTACAACCATAGAGACGAAAACAACCGCTTTCACCTCATCGTTGCGTAGATGTCACTAGAACGCGCGGTGCAGTCTGGGAAATGTTGTTTGTGTGTTTCTCGTTTACGGCAAGATATGTATCTGTCACGTACTTCCGTGTTCGCTTAAATCAAGTTAAACTGCAGTGAGGAACGTTATTTTTTAAACGTCTTTGTCTTGATTTACAGGATATCTGTCCTGCATTTGATTCATCGGTAAAATGTAAAACAGCTGTTGATTATTACGCTGTTTGGATGCTCCACAGTTGGCCCTTAGCTTCACATCACAGGTTGGTTTATTCACTGTATCAGACAATAACAGAGCCGTTTAGGATTTCTGGCCCTTTCGTATACATATTTACCTGAAAGGACCTGAGGATAACAGCACAGACGGTGACATACATTTGATGACACAAGCAGTTGTTTTGTGTCAGTGTACTTGTCCTTGTGATAGTTCACAACGGCCACCAGATGGCATCAAAGCACAGGGCTGATGGAGGCCGAAGTACACATGCTGTTGCAGGCAAATGTCATCGCCTCAGTTTGGGACATTATGGAGAACAGCTGGATAAATCGGTAATTGTCATTCAATTAAAAGAATGCCAACACAATTGTAGACCGAGAGGAGAGAGTAGTATTTAAAAGGTAAACACAGCCTTCAAAGTTGTGTAGACATTGCAACACTATCACATCACATGCTAGTTTACTGAGGTTCATTTTCTCAATGGGACACATGTTGGTGAAATGTAATGTCAATCCCATTAGAAATCACGTGCTTTCATTTCAGTACAAAACTATCAAATCATTCTTTAATTCATTCTTATTTTCTTATCTCTCGTGTGACTCAGTCCTTTTATCTTTGAGTGGGCCTGTCTGTCTCACAATCCCTCTCCCCAAGCATTCAAGGATGGCTGGAGAGCATAAGATACACTGTATGATATATTGTTGATATACCTTCCTCACCAAAGTGCACACACTTAGCTGGGGATGTGGGGTTTTCTTTGGACGTGATCTGCATTGTTGTGACTGCAAAAGATAGAACAGAGGATAACTTTGGGGAAATCATTGTGGAAAACCTGATGGACTGGAAATTATTCAAAGTGTTCTAATATGAGTAAACACACACACACACATACACACACACACACGACTACAAAAGCAGCATTGTTTACAGAATTGCTTGTCTTTAAAATCACAGTGAAAGTGCATTTTGAGAGCATGTTCCTTAGGTTTTTGTAAATGTTATTCTAGAAATGTGATGCTGCAGCAGACATCAATGAAGAAAGGTATCATTCGACCTTTTAAAGCAATGGTATATCAGTAAATCAAAGCAATATCATTTAATTTAGTTGCAGGAATGCCTACTACTGGGTGGTGTTTTCATCTAGCCGACACCTACTTGCATTCGATGAGGTTTCCTCTAATGATGCATTGTATTCTAGGAAAAAAGTGAATGCCACTTTCGTGTGACTACAATACAAGTAAAACCAATCTGACATATACAAGCATAGGTTGTAATTTATTAGATGGGTATGTTGAGTGCTGGCAATAAGCTTACTGTGGCTCACCAGACAATCATTTAGGACATCATGCTCTGCCATCATAAATCCACTAGCACTTTTACCAGCACTCCCTAAATCTAAATATCAATGTGGGTTGTCTGCTGGTCAGCAATGGCCCCTCCAGTTTGGGAACCACTGTTTCAGACATACTAAATAGTTTGCATGTTTAATGTTTTGATAAATATAGAGTGCCCTATTCATGAGAAAAGTCCCCTCTCACTCGCCTCTCTTATTGGGTCAGAGGTCACGGTCAGCAATGGAAAACTTGGTGCTATTACAGGGTTTTATTCATAATGTTTATTCAAAAGACAGTTTCAGTGACAAAAAAAGCTGTTTTACATCTGTGCAAAGAAAGAGAGTGAAGGGGATCACAGGGGTGTACAGTAGGCTACCACCACAAAATGAAACATTTCTGCACATAAAAAACTTGCATGGCCTATCCTTGTTTTCTATCTTTACACAAATGTGTGGTTCTAAGAAAATGTAAGGTGTTCCACTTTAGGTTATTTGAGCCTCAAGATGTCGTGAGAACACCCACAGATCAAATTGAGTGAAGGAGGCCGATAATGAGCTTACACACTCCAAGATGAAAGGAGGGAGAGCGATGGGGCAGAAAATGAGTGAGTGAAAAAAAGATGGAAACAAAAAAGGCAAGCAGAGTGAGGAAATAAAACAGTGACACTTACAAACATATTGCATGATAACACATTTAAATGGGTGTAGTTCTCACTATGCGAGTTTATACCTCGTGTTACTTGATGCAGTAATGAACAGTTCACAAGGAAGCATGACCCAAAAAGTGAACGACTTCCAAATAAGCTACACGTCAGCCTACAGGAACCAGGCGCGCCCCCGCTGCTACCTGAACTAACTAGTTTGCACACAAAAAAAGTGCGTGTGCGTGGTGTGATAGCGCGGGTTGCGTTCAAATACTGTCGGCAATATGAAAACGACGAACAAACAGGGTGACCATACAGGAGTTTATTGCATTTAAACTGTATGGAAAAAAACAGGCCGTTTGTTATTATAGAAACATACTTGAAAATAGTTTGTCTGACAATTTGGAAATGTCAGACCACACAACTCTTATGACATGAGATGATCCATAGGCTCAACAGCCTATGGATTCATGGATCAACAGATCAAACATGTACCAAGTGTGAGCGTGTTGCTGAACTTTCATTACAGATCTGCTTTCAAAGGTTGCGCTACACTTTCATCTGTTGGCTGGTGTGATCTTTTCTCCAGCGCCAATGCTGTGATCTTCCATAACTTGTACAGGAAGAAACAGTTTTATAACACTAGTTTGATGAGTTCCTTACACCACTGTCACATTACTGTTGGTACAACCAAATTATTATGATACGAAATAGGCTTATCAATCTTAATTTGATGTGAACATAATATAACTAAATATCTGTAGGCTACTTCTTGTGTAACAGGTAGAGTAACGTTACCGGAATGTTACCATCTGTTTCTGATTAACATTAATTGGCTAAAGAGGTCAAGCTAATCATAATGCTCCATAACTCTTAAGCTTTTCATCACGCGTGAGTGATTCAAAACAGCCAGGACAAACAACAACGTGAAGCACTTTCAATTGTTGAGTGAAACAAACAAAGACAGTTGTTTTGACCAGCTGCAGATAGACTATACAGTCTGTAAGCCAACAACAACAAGTTATAAACTCTGGCCTTGCCCATACAGATGTGGCATTACATGTCTTAATGGCCAGCTGTTTTCAGGATATATTTCAGCCCTTGTGTCTTTTTAAATAGGGTCAAATTAACCACATTAAATAAATATAAGTATGGATAGTGCTATTTATTGCAAGTTTTCATTCAGCTGTAACTTTACAAATACAAAGAACAAAATATCTTGACAGGGCATACCTGAGAGCTTTACGAGGAGCACCTGAAGGCAGCACAGGGAGGCGTTTCCACTGGGTAACTGCGTCGCTTGCCTGTGCAGCCTGATTTCTCCCCCCCCCCGCCCTCCCTCCCTCTCTCCCCCCACTCACATCCCTCTCTTCCTCTTATTTCTCACCGCATCTCCTCCACCACCTGCCACAGCAGCGACGCAGCGATGGAGAACCGCCGCAAATGATCGCAAGCTCACGCAAGACTTCGCCAGAGAGAGAGAGAGAGAGAGAGAAAGAGAAATAAACAGAGGAGTAGACAGATAGAGAGGGAGACACAGAGATAGAGAAACGGAGAGACGTGCGGAAACAGAAACATATGGTTCGTCTGAAGTGCGGCTGTTTCTAAGGACTGCCTAACCGAGCTGAAACTTATTCAACCACCGGGATCAACTAAAAGCTGCATCCGTTTTGACACTTCTTTGCATTGTGTGTGTGTGTGTGTGTGTCCTCTCACCTGTGCTAGACTGCGCTTTATTCACCTCTGTTTCATTAGTTTGTACAGGCTGGACTGCGGTTGTTGCACCTCCCTGAACGCGCACACATACACGCGCACTACACTGGTTATCACAAGACGCGGTGCAGCCCGCAAAAAGCTTCTTGCGAGGAGGAAATTGAATCAGACAAATTATTCCCACAGAAGAGGAGTCACGAGTGGCTGGCGTCTCTGATTCTCTTCATTCTCCCCCGGCTCACCGTGCCTCCTCCGGGCCCAACAGGAGTCTCCTAGAGCCCCTCTCTCTTCTCCTCCTCCTCCCCCCCTCCTCCCTTTCCCCCGGTAACGAGCCATGTCTGGACGCACTGTGACCATCCCGGACGACCGGGCGTTTGCCAGCTTTAAGGCGGAGTGTCTGTGCGAGGAAGGCTGGAGCATAAACCACAACAAGGGGGACATCACGGTGTGGACCCAGGGTCTCGAGGAGGGGAAGTCCATCCACAAAATCAAGGTGAGACTGTTTCACCTCCGCACAGGGACGAAACACAAAATAGGGGAAGTCCTCAGCATATGTTAAAACAAAGTCTACATTTGATCTGTATGCTCATTTTCTATTGGGAGGAGGAAATAAAGAAGCACTGCTGTGTAATCGGGCTGGCAGAGAACTGCCTTTTCTAAATTCCCATATGATTAAAACTGCTGACATGCTTTAACTGCTCCTTTTTTTTGCTGCATGGTAGTTGCAGAGGCTTCTACAACCCTCTAACAGCTCATTGCATTTCAAAGAAATGTATTCAGATGACGTGGCATATTATATGTTGTCCCTTCTTTTTAATAATCACACAAACAAATGGGTTTAGTTAATAGTCCCGAAATAATGCTGACAGTGCAACTGTAAAGCCTGCAGCATGCAACTTTTTTTCATTGTCACTGTTTAGTGAACACATCCTGTGTTAGATCCACTTATCTATTTATAAATGTGTACAGTGGCTGGGTTGTGAATTTATGCCTGATGCACACTATGAGAAATCCCCGGTATAGAGAAGTGAGAGCCTCAGGAGTCAGGTTCTCTTCTCAGGGGAGTAGATGCCATTAACCTCTGGCAGTGAAACTATTTTCACATCTCTAAAGCAGTAGTATTAGGTAGTGTTGAGTATACGATTTCAGCTTACTTTGTTGACTTGGAGTTAGTTCTGCATACAATGTGTCATTAATTTAACCCATCACGGGGAAGTGACGAAGAGCTGAAATAGTGCAGGAGACAATATAACTGACAATTTTAAGGTTAAAGACATTATTTTGGTAACTTGTGATGGTCGTTTGTCATTATTTGTAGGTATTTTATTACCTACCAGTTAGCCAGCCCTAGAACTGCATTAGAGTACAGTTTGACATTAATACAGTAACACAAGTTGCAGTAGGTGGAAACAAATGTAGCTCCAATCATTGTTTAGGTAAGCTAATGTGAAAGTGCTTCCCTATCTAGGCAAATAGCAGTCGTGGCAGTTTATCTCGAATGTGAATGTTTGTCTTGGGAGTCGATGTGGAGGCGTCATCAGGAATGGCTGTGCCACTTTAAGCCATGGAAAAACTGCTGTGTACCATCTAACACGTTATATGTGATCTCGTCATTAATCATGATTCGTTAGTGTTCCTGGACAGAGACCCATGGGAACAAAATGAATTCAGCACATTTGTGGCATAAACATACATGAATACTAGATGATTAAAGAAGTTTGCACACATGTTAAGATAAAAAGTGACAGTTTAATGCAATTTTAAGCTCCTCTATCATTCAGATTATTCAGTTATTTGAAGAAAATTACGGGGATGAATAATGTGTCAATGTATAAAAAGCTACTTGCGGTCCATTCATACATATATACTTAGGTCATATATAACTAAAAAAAAAAAGTGAAAAGATTTTCATCCTACAGTCTCCCCTTAGCCTCACGCCTGACTGACTGGCAATTTAGAGCTCAACTGGCTCAAATCTCCTAAATCTACTAAAGTGTTGTCACTTTCACTTTAAGACCGATTTAGCTTCACAGCTCACAGTTTTTGGGAGTTTGCTTCTACTTTTCCGACCTGTGCAGGGCTTTCTGATCTTTCCGAATTGTGATTACTGTAATTTTACTCTGGGATACATTGCCCTCTGTGTAAACAAGTATATAAACGTGTGTGTGTGTGTGTGTGTGTCTTCCTGCTGGTATATCCGGGTCCAAGGAGCGTGAGCGAGCCACCAGGTGTTTACTTTGTTAAATATAGTGTGTGCATGAATGGGTGTGTGTCTGTGTCCATATGGGTGTGCAGGAGCCACAGCAGCAGAGGGATTTTCCCAGCCACCATCTATCTACTGTATGTTTTACCTGTGAAGCTGGGTCTTGTGTGTGCGTGTGAGTGGCGTCAACGGGCCAATCAGGAGAGTGTAAAATGGCCATTTGTGTGCAGAAGGAGAGGTGTATCATGCCTGCATCAGCTGGGTAATACGTGTGTGTGTTTGTGCGTGCGTGCAGTGGTTAAGGACAGGTGTGTTTCCTCGGGACAGCTCAGCAAACAGAGACAAGTAGAAAGTGCACATGGACACACATTTGGAGTTTGAATGGGGCTCCTATCTATACCTGCCACTTTATCTTTATGTAAATAAGACAGGAGCTTTATTTATTTATTTCTCCTCACAAAATGGTGACGTAATTGTAGTTGTGTGTTAATGAGGCTGATGGTGTGTATAGATCATGCTTATAGATGTGGGTAAGGGTAGGGGCATGCAGCGATGCCACAGATACTGCTCTTCTATTTATAGACGAAATAAAAGCATGCATCTTTGCTGATGCATTTTGAATGATTAATGTCAGTGTTGAGCATGAATAGCAGTAATATATATATATATTTATTCAAACCTGAGAGAGAGGGAACAGTCTGGCAATCATTATCATTAGCAACCTAATTATCATCAGCCCCATTATCGCCATTATCCCTTGCCATGTTCATCTATAATAACTTTTGGTATCACAGTGTAATAACAGTAGCCTTCCCATCATATCATTTGTCAGCACATGACTCCACGCACAATGCACAATGGGTGTGTGTTAGTGTGTCGGTGGTTTTTGGTTACTGTAATAGTTTGACAAACTGCATCTCTGCCATGCACACACACACACACACACACACACACACACACACACGTATATACATATACTGGAGACTCCTGGGTTTGCTTTCTCACTACTGACACACAGGGAAGCCCAGCTGTGAATCACACGTTACCCACTCTTCCATTTTCTTTATTTTTTTTGTGTTCATAATTGTCTTCTGCAATCATGCATCACCACCCAGAGGAGCAAACGATGAGAGTACAGAGCGAGGGATGGAAGATGGTGGCGGATAGAGAAGAAGATTTGGTGAGACAGGGAATAAGGAAGAGAAGGAGTAGTAGGTGGTGTGGGTTGGATGTGAAAAGGTCGGAGGTCATGGGTGTTCTGCGTGGGCAGTGGGCGCAGTGTGGACTCGGACCTGGCAAAAGACTCACCAAACCATACACACACACACACACACACACGTATTGTTCGTGTACCTACTTGTCTGCCTTTTTGTCTCCCTCCATCTCTGCTTTATCTCTCTGAACTCCCTTTCACCCGCCTCTATCTCTGTCTCCTTGCTTCATCTGTTGACTTCACTGAATTAGTGTGTAATAGAATTAAGCACACATGTACTTAGCTGGCTGTAGGTCTGCATTCTGCACTGAATGCCTTCTGCTCCCCACAGTTCTCTTCTTTTGCCTTTTCATTTGGTTTTACTTCTTCCTCCTACTCCTGTTTCAGTTTGCCTGTGAACACAACACATTCATTATTCTCCCTGGTCTTTTGTGACCTGCGAGTCCTCTCCATTCTGTCTACACATGGATATCAAATATAAGATCATTATTTACGTATGGTTGCCTTCTGTAGATATAATACATTGCAGTATCTGTTTTTTTTTTTTTTGCTGAGTGCTTTGGCACAGTCTAGTTTGAAAATCGCATCATACTGTATATACTGTATGTGTGTTTGTACTTCCAGTGTGGAGAGTTCTTGGTGGAGAGTAAGAAATAAGCCTTTAATTATGTAACAAGCAAAGCATCAGCAGGACTCATAATGCATTATTATTTCCCTGTAATGTCAATCTGCAGTCATCCCCTCATTCTGTACCCCACACTCCCTCTCTTAATGCTCAGAGTCATCTCTGGGTAATAACAGAATACATGTGAAAAGTTTTAACTATTGTATTCAATAGACTGACAATGAATTAGTTCAGGCACATCAGTATCAGATGACTACCGACGTTTGAACAGTCGATGAGCTCGTCTTTGTAATCTTCCTCCTCCATGTTCTGGTTTCTTGAAAACAGTGCCGGAAACTTTACTGACTTAAAAGTTTTTACACTACAAAGT